ACAGGAGCCACTTCCTGCTAAGAAAAGCAGAACATGGAAGGAAGAAAAACAAACATTTCAAGACCGGTGGGAAATGCAGTTTCTAGTGTTTCTGAAGCTGTCTGATTCAGTTTCTGAGCAAGTTGCATTCTGATCCACACAATGTTTGCAAGAGAGAAATTCATCAAATCAAAATTTATGCTATGCAATGTTACTAGAGCACTCATGTAGGGATACTTGAACAGAATTACCACAATGAGTTTCAGAGGCGCAAGCTGTTACATGATGCAAAAACTGAGTTTGAAAGACAACAGTGGCGGCTCAAAGACTTTTTTGAATAAACCAGATCAGATTTGAGTGCCTACTTTTAAAGTTGCACTACTTTTGGGGAAAGCAAGAAAACCATTCAGCGATGGAGAACTCCTGAAGAAAATTGTTCTGGCCATAGAACCAGAAAGTAAGCTTTTCAGAGAGATACCACTGAGCAACAACACATTACAGGGGAGCACAAGAGATCTGGTGAATTTTCTACAAAATGAAATAGCTGGAAAACTCGCAGCAAGCCCTTTCTACAGTCTGTGCTTGGATGAGAGCCTTGATGTCATGAGGAATCCCAAGGTAATCGTGTGTTCACTTTTTGGACTGTGATTGCCATTGTTTTTCCGAAGGTATTTTATGTCAGGTGCCTCAGAGATAGGCCTACTGACAAATACATTTTTGAATGTGTTCAGATGAGAATGTAGGCGTGCCATGTTAACTTTGACAATCTCTGTGGTTTGACAATTGATGAGGAAGTAGCTATGCAAAGTGGATGAGTAGGGTGTTGAACTGCTTCCAAGAAAGGTGCACTCAAACGTTTTCTGTTTCAATGTTTTGCCCAAGAAGTATTTACCAGCAAAGCTTCAATGGAAAGTATGGATGAGGTTGAATCCATAGTGGAAAAAATGCATCAATGCTGTCAACACCAGCAACGTCAATAAAGGAAGATCCACAACTGTGTGTGAAATGGGCTGTGAGACACACACGATGCTGCTGAACAACAACCCAGTCCACTGGCTCAGTTTTAATGACAGTGTGCAGAGGCTCTTTAAGCTCTGGGAAGAGCTCATTGAGGTTTTGAATAACATTTCACCGTAACTGTCCCAAAAACTACAAGATCCAGAAGTACATGGTTGTCTAAATCGTTTTTACCAAAGCTTGCTTCCTTGAACCTGGAGCTTCAGAAACCTCAGCTAACAATATTTGATGATAATGAAATAATTTAATACATTTAGAATGACAATACCTGACAGTCCAGCACCTACAAGAGGAATGGACTTTTCAGTTTATCAGCTTAGTCGGTTGGAATGTGCAGCAAAAAGTCGACTTAGGTGTAACCAAATACCTGAGTATCCTCTTGGAGGATCTGGAAAATCGTTTCAGTGAGGGAAACTTATTCTGTCAGTTCACCTTTGTCACTGACCCATTCAGCAATTCTGGTTCAGCTTTTTTGGCTGCAAACTGCCTTGCAAGACAGATTTGCTTCCTTTGACTCTTTTTGGATTTAAGTTCCTCATGCTGAAAATGTGCAATGATTCAAGAGTAAAAACATACTTCAGTCAGCCTACTGTTACAGTACAGGAGTTATGGAGTAATGCGTACCTGTTTTGAGGACACCTACAATCCCCTAGTTAAAGTTGCTTTGCTTTTCTTGTGCATTTTCGACGACTGTGCTGTGTGAGAGGGCATTCGGTGCACTTCATTTCCTGAAAAACAAGTACCGAAACCGCCTCACTGATGCTAACTTCTGAGCTTCTTTTCTAATCTCACAGGAGAGCCAAGATCCTGCAGACTTTTCCTTTCAAAGAGCTGCTGAGTTATTGCAAGTACTCTGATCCACCCAATGGATGTGGTAAAACCCAGAACTTTCATCACACTGTATTTCTAACACAATATATATGTTTGTTGTTAATACAATCATTATTATTGGATTTATTTTTTTGTCAGGTTGAAATTTTTTTTATTTCAGAAACAATTTGCAGATCTGTTTTTTCATTATTATTTGGACTTCTATTACCTCAAAACATTTTTAACTTTATTTCAGAATTGTTGTACAACCACTTTTACCAAAAAAGCAAAAGGAAACAATAATAAAGACAAGAATGTGAAAAACACATTATTTCTGTTAGGTCCAGTAAAGAATACAGATAATTGCATGTTTATTATTGAGTCTGTAAAAAACACCCCCAAAACCTTACATAAATAATTAATTTACAATGATTTGGGGTGTGTGTGTATGTGTATATATGTGTATATATATATACACATATTTATTAACTTTAAGAAAAAAATAAATTTTAGGAAAAAATGTCAGTGTGGACACCAGGAAGAGTGGGTGACTACACTCTGAGGGCACCAAAAATTTCAGTGAGATCCCTTGCTTTAGGACCTCACCTGTTCTCAAAAATTAATGTTTCTGAGATTGTTTGTTAGTTTCTAATGGAGCCTAAGATGAATTTCATCAAAGGCTCTCCTGATTTGAATACATCTAACTTATCTAAATATTTATCCTGTTCTTTCCTTATTTTGGCTTACATTCCTTTCCCTTAATTGATCACTTGTATATGGGTCACTATTAACCTTTTTCAGCGATGACTGAAGGAAAATGGGCCTTAAACACTTCAGCCTTCTTGATGGCATCAGTTATTAACTCTCCTTCCCCACCAAGTAACAGACCTACACTTTCTTTCATCTTTCTCTCATTCCTACTATATGTAAAGAACCTCTTCTTACTGCCTTTTATGTCCTTTGCAGGCTGTAACTCATTTTCTACCTTGGCCTTTTTGTTGTTTTCCCTGAGTACTTGTACGTGTCTTTTGTTCTCTTTAGCAATTTGTCCAAGTTCCCAGTCTTGGTAGGATTCATTTTTTGGTTTTCAGAGCATTATGGGCCTGCTGCTACTTCTCCCTTTCCTTGGTATCAGGACCGTTTCCAGTTAAGCCTTTTACGCCCATTAGCCAGTTTTCCTGAACGCCACCTTCCTCGGATTTTTCCAAAGGCGGAGCGTTTATGAAATGGGACATGCAATCCATACTGGATTTACCATGGCACCAGGCCCATGGTCCAAAGGGGGCCTAGACGCTCTTCTCCTTGTGCCTGCCCTCCACCTCCCTGCGCTCTCCTGTGGGGGCAGAAGCTTGGTGCTGCTGGCTCCTGGGGCTCTGTCCTGCTGCAGGGCAGGTTCTGCTGGCAGCCAAGCTCTGCCCCCACCTCTTCCCCCTGCGTTCTGCCCCTCCTCCTCTGGGGGTTTGCTGGCAGTAGGGAGGGGGAAGAGCAGAGCCACAGCAGGTTTGCTGCTCGGGGGGGGAGGAGGAGGAGGAAAAGAGGCAGGGGCAGAGCCTTCGGGAAGGGGCTGGAATCTGGGCATACCCCCTCCAGTGAGCACCCCCATGACCCCAGCTGTCTGCCCACCCCGACTCCTGCACCCCCTCACACACCTCCCCCAGCCTCCTGCCCCGACTCCTACACCCCCACCCCCAAATCCCCACCCCAAGCACCCTAAATGGGAGTTCTTGCACGCACACCCCATTCCCACCTGCACCCCTCACACCAAACAGGAGCTGCCCCAGGTAAGGGCTCCACACCTCAACATCCTGCCCTAACCCTGAGCCCCCTCCCTCACCCTAGCTCCTGGCCAGACCCTGCACTCCAACGGTTGTTTAAATTTTTTAATAAAGTGCTCTTATCTAAAGTGCTTTACAATAGTTAGCTAATGGTACAAACAATATTTGGAAAGATCATTAAGTGGTTCACTGAGACCCTCCGCGATTTTCAAGTGGTCTCTGGAAAAATAAGCTAGACTACAAGAACAATCAAGGTACCTCACTTATTTTCATTTACTTCCTATTACTTAGAGGAGGATGAAGAGAAAAAAAATGAAAAATGGGGACTGGGGGGAGAGGAGAGAGTGTTCTTTTTCTTGGCTGGGTCCCAAAGAGGGGCCCCAAAAATGAAGCTGAGCACAGGGCTGGGGGCCCCACTAACTCTAAATCCACCACTGGCGGTCACGTCACCTTAGGGTGACCAGATGTCCCGATTTTATTGGGAGAGTCCCAATTTCTGGGTCTTTTTCTATTACCCCCCACCCCTTGCCCCAATTTTTCACACTTGCTGTCTGGTCACCCTACATCACCTGGGCTGGAGATACTGTGTGGACTGTACTCCTTTTCTTTTTGTGAATACAGACTAACACGGCTGCTACTCTGAAGCCTGTGTGGACTGATCCCCACAATCTCCAACCTACCTGGGCAGTACAGCAGACACGGCCCTGCCCACTAGCTAGCTCCTCTCCACTCCCCCCAAGGCTTAGCCCGCTCACTCTTAAAAACGATCGCTTGCCCCTCCCCCAGGCTTTTCTGGCAGCCCTGTATCCAGTTTTAGACTGGAAACTCCAGTAGAAAAGGGACCCGAGCGCCTGGTTAGCAGTGCTGGCTGGAAACGAAAAGTCCGGTTACCAGAGTAACCCCATTAGCTCCGCTTCTCCCACTCCCAACACCCACCCCCCGAGGGCTGGAAGGGAACCCGTCCTGCTGCTGCGGGAGGAGGCGCAGCTGGCTGCAGAGAGGGGAAGAGGCCGGGCTAGAACCAGGTCGGTAGGCGCTGGATGTGGGCAGGGGCCGGGGCTGTTTACCCCCTCCCCAGCCCTGCGGCGCTTGCAGTTTACCCCGGCCCCCCCTTGCTCCAGGGACCAACCCTCGCTCCCGCCCCACTGTGCTTTTGCCCCGGCCCCTTTTACAGTCATTCCCGGGGGGGGGGGGGGGGCACAGATCTCCGGGCGGCCGAGCCCAGAGATCCCACAGCCCCGCCCCCGCAGAGAGAGCGAGCGAGAGAGAGCGAGCGACGACCCGAGCCGCTCGACGCGCGTGCGCCTGCAGTCCTCAGTGCCGTTAGCGTCACGCGCCCGATGCCCCGCCTGCTCACGAGCACGCCTAGAGTCACGTGTCCCTGCCCCCTGCTGTATAGTTTCGGGGCGGTTGAGTCTCTCTCAGGCCGGCAGGGGGCGCGGTACTAGTCGACACGGCGGCTGCGCCGGGCTCCGGGAAGCGGGCGGAGGGAGGCGGTCGTAGCAGCACCGCTGAGCGATGGCCGGGGAGGATGGAGCCGCCCCGGAGGCTGCGCAGCCCCCCGCGGACTCGGGCCCTGCCGGCGGCGGCGGCGGCGGCTACGACGCCAAGTGCGTCTTCTGCAGGATCGGCCGCCGGGAGGAGCCGGGCACCGCGCTGCTGCCCTGCGAGGTGAGGGGAGGCGGGCACCGGCGGGCACCAACCCTTCCCTGCCAGCCCCTCTGGGCCCTGCCGCCGCGCCCCCCGCGCGCTCTCGCCCCTGCCGGCCCCGGCAGCGTTGTGAGGAGCCGGGGCGCCCGGGTATCGCCCTGCAGAGCCGCCCGTCGGGCGCGAGCGGCGCAGGGAGCGGCGGGCAGGCTGAGCGCGGGGGGCGGGGCGGGAGAGGCCTGGCTAGTGCCGGGGGGCGGGGTGTCCGGTGTCTGCCTCTTTGGCTGGCCCGCGGGAGGAGCGGCCGCAGTTGCTGATCCTGCAGTTGAGAGGAGAATTGTCTCATGGGCCTGGGAAACCGAGCCCAGGGCCTCCCAAGGGCAGTGCAGGGGTGCCCCCGACTCGACTTCGCAAAAACACCGCGAAAGGTGCGGTGATTCACGACTTCCATAGGTTATGTTCCGTTCCCATTATTGAACGGTGACGAGCAAATAGGGACGGTACAGCCTGTGCTGCGGAGCCAGTGTTGGGATTGTCCAAATCTCGGTAGTTCTAGTTAAATGGAATGTAATTCACCCAATCTACTGTCTTTTCTAGATAACTAGTCTGTTCAGGGGATCTCTTCATCTGCTGCTTGTGAGTGGCTTGCTGCTTGGAACAAGATTTAAACTGCTTTAATTTAAATAATTCTTCCATGCCTTGCCCAGAAAGTGGGATGGGTGGGGTCCAACAGTAGAGCATGAGGGTAGAACTAAACTTTTTTCCATCTTAACTCTGAGGTTTGGGGCGGTATAAGTAGCTAAAAATGTGTATTTGAATTAAAATATGTCTGGCTTATTCTTTATCATTTCACTTAATCTGTAAGGAAATTTTAATTTCCAAATGTAAGTAAATGACAGGTTCTTAGTTTTATCCATAATCATTAAAGTAGATTAAATGTGGTGGTCCTGGATAATACAATAATTCACAAGTTGAAGCCCTGAATCTGCATGGTGGGGGCTCTGTGTAAACACAGGGGTCTGCCTGTACAGAGTTCCCTGTGTGTTCGGGGCCGGCATGGCTAAAAAACTGGAAGACCTCCTCCACTAATGTGATGGAAGTATTAGTGAAATGTTCATCAGAAAGGCAGGCACTCAAAATTTCTCACTATTCTGGGCAGTATCCTTCCAGTAGGAGAGCATCAGAACATTGGGGAGGCCTGGATGGGGAGTGGCTGATGTAACTATTTACAAGAATTATTGCTTTTTGTGGACTAATTCCAATGTACATCACTGAGGCCTTGTCTACGCTGGGGGCAGATCAACCTAAGATACGCAACTTCAGCTACGAGAATAGCGTAGCTGAAGTTGACGTATCTTAGGTCGACTTACCTCATGTCCTCATGATGTGGGGTCGACCTGCTGCTGCTCCCCTGTCGACTCCACTTCCGCGTCTCGCCACGGTGAAGTACAGGAGTTGACGGCAGAGGGATAGGGGATCTACACTAGACACGATAAATCGATCCTTGATAGATCGATCACTACCCACTGATCCAGTGGGTAGTGTAGACCAGTGGTTCTCAAAGCCTGTCCGTCGCTTGTTCAGAGGAAGCCCCTGGCTGGCCAGGCCGCAGGTAGGGCCGATCATGGGCCAGCATATCCCTCTGCCCACGCTGCTTCCTGCAGCCCCCATTGGCCTGGAGCAGTGAACCGTGGCCAGTGGGAGCCGCGATCAGCCAAACCTGCGGAAGCGGCAGGTAAACAAACTAGCCCCGCCCACCTGGGGCTTTCCCTGAACAAGCGGTGGACCAGCTTTGAGAATCACTGGTGTAGACGTATCCTCTGAGAAATACTTGTGAAGCTAATGCTACAATTTATAGTAGAACTATAATGCAGGGGTCAGCAACATTTCAGAGGTGGTGTGCCGAGTCTTCATTTATTCACTCTAATTTAAGGTTTCACGTGCCAGTAATACATTTTAAATGCTTTTAGAAGGTCTTTCTGTAAGTCTTTACATAAAACAATAGTTTAGTGTTATATTAAAGTAAATAAGGTTTTTAAAATGTTTAAGAAGCCTCATTTAAAATTAAATTAAAATGCGGAGCCCCCAGGACCTGGGCAGTGTGAGTGCCACTGAAAATCAGCTTGCACGCCTCCTTTGGCACACGTGCCATAGGTTGCCTTCCCCTGCTATGGGTTTTGAATAACCATAGAGTGTTCCACTGTTTGAATGCCACTTCAGTTCCAGTAAAAGTGATTTTGTTATCTGCTATTTTCTAATGTGTTAATTTTAATAATAGATTAATATGTTGCTATTGTTCCATTAGTCTGAAGGTCTAGTCTGTTTTAGAGATATCAGACCTGGGGCCCCACACCATTATCTAGTAGTGCCGATAGAGCATATGGGAAACTGCAAGACTCTAAAGAAAGAGCACATTCCACTAGGTAAGACTGTAACTATGGCTATTGCATGAATCAAAAGAAAACAGTTGTGGATCATCCTTTATTCCTGTAGAGATGCATGCTGCAGTATATTGTCAATTGCATTGTAGTTTTGAGCACTGTTTATTTTGTGGCTAACTGTGTCAGGGTAGATTGCTGATTTAAGTCATGATTAAAATCTGATTTAAATCAAACAGGAAGCCTTGATTTTAAGTAATTGATTTAAATCTAGTTTTGCAGGTGTACTTTTGGGAGTTCTTTTCCTAAAGAAAAGTTGGTATGATTTGGTACTTCATGCTAACCAGAAGGATACACTATATCTATACATTTATTCAATTTATGACATCACACATTTATTCACATTCTCAATAATTACATTTTTTTTAATGTTAGAAATAGTGAATGATTCACTTCTTGTTTACTAGATGATACATTTTACTTCTGATTTTTCAAACTATTTGGAAGGAAATTGAAATTTAATAAAAATGCACAAACAATATTTTAAAGTTGTTTTAGTTAAATAAAACTACCTTAACTATGCTGCATTTAAAAAAAAAAGCCTATTACAACAAAATTTTGTATTTAAAATTAATTTTTTAAACAAAAGACAGATTAGCTATAGTTAGTGCATTGAACTGATTGGGACTGGTCACCATGTCCTTCAGGATTTTAGAACTAGTATCTTTTCACACCTTGTTTTTATTCATAGATTGGAAGAAAACATGCTTTCCTGCTTCTTTCAGCTTCTGATTGGTTTCTCAACTTTTGAATGAACTAGTCCTTGAATTGAACAAATTGAATAAACTGAAATGTAGAAAATACTCTCTCTGCACCTGCAGAGGAGGCAAATGCTGTCAAAAGCTGGTTTAGAACATCTTCAAACCCTGCTTCAAGTGGTTAGCGAGTGTATTCCACCAGTTCAGTGGTTTGATTTTTCTTTAAAACTTTGCTAGTAAATATGTACTGCTTGAATATTTATTTACATAAATTTAACATAATCTGTTAAAATAAGGTCAAGGCCTTGACATAGGTTGTCAAAGTTCAAATGTAATTTTAAAAGGTTTATTAAAATAATTAAATACAAAGGCTGTTTTAAATTTAAAAAGTCAATTTTTTTTTGTTTTCTTTTTTTATTAAGAGATCACTGGTTTTCCTCCATTCTAGTATCAGAGGATTACCGGTTAGTAGTTTATTAGGGTGTGTTTACACAGGGAATTTGACTGACATAGCTATAGCAGAATAGTTCTAATTATTCTGCTGTGGCTATGCTGGTATAACTCCTTTGTGTGGACACTCTGTTTTGGGTTAATAATTCTGCGGTAGCTATGTCAGTCAATTTGCCTGTGTATACAAGCCCTAAGATCCAAGAATACAGCTATTTCTTCTTGTCTGAAGTTGCAGATGTAGTTTAAATTGGTTGAGAATCTGTTAGTGATTTTCATAAAACTTTGTTTTTCCTTTGGAGACTGGAGAGAAGAAAAATGTATGTGAAAGGTATTTTATTACTATCTTTACTACCTGTGCTAAATTGGGATATTCTTTCTTAATGATGATGGAAAGATAATGCAGTTTCTAAAGGTAGGTTAGCTTGTTTTTTTTTTTTTTTTTTTAAATCAACTTGTAGCATTCATAAAATGTCAAAGGTTTTGTAGTTTAAAAAAACCTGGCCACGCTCCATGATTGCCTTCGTCTGCAGGAAATGTTCTGATTAGCTGTGTATGTTAAGCGTCAGAGAGAGAGAGACTATGAAATGTTTATCCTTGTTAACGTGAACATTAATTTTTGTCCCGAGTCTCTCATTCAACCTAGTTAAACTTCAAAAAAGTTAAACTCAAGAATTCTAAAAATGAATCTGAAAGATCCTGGATTAACAGTCCTAGTCCTTGTCTATTCTGGCATTTTTTCTTAACATCTCTTACTGTTTCACTAACACCAGTGCAGCTCGGAGTACTAGTGTAGGCTTGCCACCAGTGGCAGCTGCCATTTTTACTACCACCATAAGTAACCCTATTTAGTACAGGATTAGTTTACACAGTGATTAAAAATGCCTTTGTACTGCCTGCTGTAGAAAAATGCTAAATCCTAGAGATTAAAGTCCTGCAGATACATCACTGAGGGCAACAGAACAAACTTCCCACTAATATTCCTCAGCATTGGCTTGGAGGTTTTAGGCATGAAGATAAATCTTTGGCCTTGCCAAAAATGGTGCCAAAATATAGGTGGAAGTTTTGTGATGTGGAAGTTTGACCACTTAAGTGTGTGTGTGTATATACACACACACAGAGAGAGAGAACATGAAAAGGTGGAAGTTGCCACACCAACTGTAAGAGGCTAATTACTTAAGATGGGCTATTATCAGCAGGAGGAAAAAAAAAAAACTTTTGTAGTGATAATCAAGATGGCCCATTTCACACAGTTGACAAGAAGGTGTGAGGATACTTAACATGGGGAAAGAGATTCAATTTGTGTAATGATCCAGCCACTCCAAGTTTCTATTCAAGCCCAAGTTAATGGTATCTAATTTGCAAATTACTTCAAGTTCAGCAGTTTCTCGTTGGAGTCTGTTTTTGAAGCTTTTCTGTAGCAAAATTGCCACCTTTAAGTCTGTTCCTGAGTGACCAGAGAGGTTGAAGTGTTATGATTCCTGATGTCAGATGTGTGTCCATTTATTTTTTTATGTAGAGACTGTCCAGTTTGGCCAATGTACATGGCAGAGGGGTATTGCGGGCACACGATGGCATATATCACATTGGTAGATGTGCAGGTGAATGAGCCCCTGATGGTGTGGCTGATGTGATTAGTTCCTATGATGGTGTCACTTAAATAGATATGTGGACAGAGTTGGCATCAGGCTTTGTTGCAAGGATAAGTTCCTGGGTTGGTGTTTTTGTTGTGTGGCGTGTGGTTGCTGGTGAGTATTTGCTTCAGGTTGGGGGCCTGCCTGTAAGCGAGGACTGGTCTGTCTCCCAAGATCTGTGAGAGTGAGGGATCATCTTTCAGGATAGGCTGTAGATCTGATGATGCACTGGAGAGGTTTTACTTGGAGGCTGAAGGTGACGGCCCGTGGCTTTCTGTTGTTTTCTTTGTTGGGCCCGTCCTGTAGCAGGTAGCTTCTGGGTACTCTTCTGGCTCTGTCAGTCTGTTTTTTCACTTCAGCAGGGGGGTACTGTAGTTTTAAGAATGCTTGATAGAGATCTTGTAGGTGTTTGTCTCTGTCTGAGGGATTGGAGCAAATGCGGTTGTATCTTAGAGCTTGGCTGTAGACAATGGGTTGTCTGGTGTGGTCTGGATGGAAGCTGAAGGCATGTAGGCAAGTATAATGGTCAGTAGGTTTCTGGTATAGGGTGGTGTTTATGCGACCATCGCTTATTAGCACAGTAGTGTCCAGGAAATGGACCGCTTGTGTGGATTGGTCCAGGCTGAGGTTGATGGTGGGATGGAAATTGTTGAAATCATTCCTCAAGGGCTTCTTTTCCATGGGTCCAGATAATGAAGATGTCATCAATGTAGTGCAAGTAGAGTAGGGGCGTTAGGGGACGAGAGCTAAGGAACAGACTGACAGAGGCAGAAGAGTACCCAGAAGCTACCTACTACAGGACAGGCCCAACAAAGAAAATAACAGAACGCCATGGGCCGTACTCACAAGTACTCCTATTCATTATTTAGAGGCATTTTAGTGCACTATATTTAGAGTTCACATTCAATTTAACTTCTTTTTCTACCTAGTGGAGAAAATGATGGAAGCTGGAAAGAACATCCTTCAGCGAAATAATTTTACTGACTTGAATGATATAAGGTATATAACTTGCTTTCTGGATATATCTAATACACTATTGACCTTTTCTGATAACAGTACTTGTCTGATAATGGTAGCAAGGGCAGCATCTTTAATTGTCTGAGAGAAATGGCCTCGAAGTTGATTATATTTTGAAATACAGCAGGAGTTCTCTGGTAGAATGCGCACACCTGGGACCTATAAACTGTTACATTTCTAGTGCAGAGTTAATTTGATTTGACTATTTGGTAAAATGTGGCATGATTCTATATGAAACTAGTTTCCTGTTTGTTTTCTAGAAAATGTTGAATGTAACAAAATAGTGTTGCAGTTTGAAGTTTGTCTATGACCAGGTCTTGGGAAAACTTTAAACAAACTATTCAAAAGGCTGCCCTGACCAGGTGCCAGTAGCATGCTTTGGAGTCCAAAGTAGAGATGAACTTACTGGCCCTGTCCATCTGGAACCCTGGGCCTCTGTTCGAGATGAGTCTGAATGTAGTTGAGCTGAGTCTCAAATGCTGTTTTTAAGAATTTTGTTTGAAATGAGTTCGACCTCTGCCATGCTAGCAAGCAAAAGCATGTTTCAAATCATCTTATACTTAAATGCTTTAAAACCATATTTAAATAATGTGGGGTTGAACCATGTTTCCCAGAATGGATAGGGACATATTTTTGTGGCTGAAGAAATTGGAGAGCACCTTTCATTTGGGAGACAGCTTATTGCTGATTTCAGTGCTAGCGGTGGTGCATTTTTGGTAGTATGTTAAAATCTTTTTTTTTCCTCCCCCCTGCCCAAAATAGGAAAATATATTTAAATGCCAACATTAAGTGAGAAATAAGCCCCTACATTGAGATGTTATCTTGACAGCCTGAGTGAAGGAAGGGGTATTAATGTTACTGTATGAGCCCTTGACTTAAACAAATAAAAATACCCCTTAACTTTTATTGTAGCTTCTGTCATTTCAATTTTATGATTTTGGGGGGAGGAGGAAAGTGGTGAAAATTAAAATTGTTTGGTAACATAAATATTTGCTGCTAGATCTGTGAAGTAATTCTGGTACTCCAGACAAAAAGCTACAGTTCAATACAATCAGCCCTTGACATAGTTTTAAGATGTTCTCGCCTATGTCTGAAATAATGCAGCTGATGTTTTTTCCCCTCCCCCACTCTTCTCAAGGATGGGATTCCACTGGCCTCCATTCTGCTCAATATCCCACTTACATCTTCATGTCCTGGCCCCAGCCAGTCATCTGGGATTCTTGTCCAGGATGATATACAGAACCAATTCCTATTGGTTTATCACAGTAAGTGCAGCGCAGTTGATTTGGTAGGTTTCCAGTTGCAAGCATAAAACGTGAAAGCTTTCAAATGATTTGAAATAGTGATCTGCTCAGGCCTAATTTTAAAGCCTGATCCAAATCCGATGGGCCCCATAGCCAACCTAAACCCTACCCCAGCCTCAGAGGGTTGAGTTGTTTTCAGACCAAGCCCAACTTAAATCCAACACTTCCCCCTGAACCTGAATTATTGTCACCCCACGTCCTGGGGGCTCAGTCTGGTGAGTGCTGCTTTTTCTCCCCACACTTGCAATCCATATGTGGTTTAGTGAAGACAATTGCTGTGCTCTGGAGTGAGTGTACCAACAAGTCGTAGAACTTCCCGCTCCTCCTCATACACAGCAAGGTGTCAGTGGGCAGTATGCAGCTGTTGGTGCACTGACCGCAGGGTAGGAGGAGGAGATTAGAGCCTACTCAACCCAAGCCTGAGATGTTTGGACTGTTTTCAGATCTAACCTGACACTTGTAGTCGGGTCAAACCAGGTTCGTGTTGGGTTAAACTCATAGAGTTTAAGGCCATAAGGGATCATTGTAATCCTCTGACCTGACCTGCAGGTTGTAGGTCTCAGAACCTCATCCACTCACTCCTGTAATAGACCAGGGGTGGGCAAACTTTTTGGCCCTAGGGCCACATTAGATACAGAAATTGTATGGAGGGCCGGATAGGGAAGACTGAGGGATACTATGCCTCCCCAAACAGCTAGGTGTGGCCTGGCCCCTGCCCCCTATCCAGCCCCCGGAATCCCCACCCCCCCACTCCCCACCCCTGACTGCCACCCAGGACTCCCGAATCCTATCCAAACACTTCTGCTCTCTGCCCCCTGACCATCCCCCCCAGGACACCTGTCCCCTATCCGATCCCCCCCCGCTCCTCCCCTCTGACTGCGCCGCCCTGGAGCACCAGGTCTGGTGGTGCTATAGGCATGCCGCCTGCTGAGGGAACTGGGACTAGGAGGGAGGAGAGCAGAAGGGGAGGGGCCAGGGACTAGCCTCCGCCCTGCTCACTGCGCTGCCAGGGAGTTGGGCTGGCTCCTCTGCAAGCCTGTCCTGACCCACTCTCTGGCAGGAGCTTGGGGGCCAGTGGGAAGGGTCCTGTGGGCTGGATGTGGCCCACAGGCCATAGTTTGCCCCCCCTCTGTAATAGGCCCATAGCCTTTGGGTGAGTTACTGAAGTCCTCAAGTCATAATTCAAAGACTTCAAGTTCCAGAGAATCCACCATTTACTCTAGTTTAACCTGCAAGTGCCCCTTGCTGTGCTGTGCCCCCATGCCCTGTGCTGCAGAGGAAGGGTTGCAGGGTTCTAGTTTAAAATGTATAATACAATGCAAAAATCTTTAGTTAACTGTTCAAACAGTTTTAACATAGATATTTTGAGAGAGACACTTGTATAACTTTTAATTCAGGATTACTTATACTTTCCTTTAGCAAATGTTAAGGTAAAACTCAGTGTGCTTTACTTTTACCTTTTACAGCCTTTTCCTTTTTAAGGAAAATATGGTGGTAAAATATTAGTGCATACTATTGTATAGTTTAGACGCAATATATGGCCTATTTTAAAAATGCAAATACACTAAAACTTGGAAACAACAAAAATACTTGTGAGCAGAAGGTAGCCTAAGATTGTTAATAGGATACATAGCATTTCATCAGTTCAATCCAGCTTGAGTGAAAAGTTACTGCCATTTGATAGCTGCTGTTCAATAGCTTATGTGCTGTTTTGCTGGTCTCAGTCCAGTTCACAAATGTCCACTTCACAAAAAAACATTTTTTTGTTGCAGCAGAAATACCAAATAGTGCCAGCTCTCCACTGAGAGGGGCTAAGAGCAGAATTGGCATGGAGACTGAGTAATTCACTAATCTTGAGAAGTTATCTTTTAGGGTTGAGGCATGCTGTCAGGGCAGGGTGGGGAAGGCTACTGGGCTGCAGCTGTGCTGAATAAACAGAAAAACGTACACTTTTAGTACAGCAGCATTATCCTGTTAAGTGAGACAGACCCTCCACATAAGTGCTAGAAAAATCCCTGCCTTGCCATTGGCTTAAGGGAGTGTTGCTGGGACATGGGATCTGTAAAGGTGAATAAAAAGCCAAGAGAGGGCCCCTTTATATATAATTTTTTTATTTTCTGAAATGAGATAAAGATAAATACAAATAACAAAAAATGGAAAATGTACTTGAATTTTTCTTTATTGTAATATGGCTTAAATATGACACTTGATTTGGAAAGAATGGAAATCAAGATTCAGAATTATATTAAATTGTAGAAGTTATATAACTTTTATATAACAATTATATAACTTTAAGAGCAAATGAACTGTAAGGCCATTTAACCTTGTTTAATTGTCGTCAGTAGGTGAGCTTTGTAACATGCTAGAGGTCGGGTGTCCCATAACAGTTAGCAAGTAGTATATTAACAACTTGAAGGCAAGGGTTGAAGCACTTAAGCTGCTTGCGTTTTTAGGTTCCAGTACCTAGTGGGTCCCAGTAAGACCTCAGACACATGTTCAAATGGAAAGGATAACTTAATAGGACTAGCAGAGAAGGTGAGAAATACCCTCGGCTCCCAGTACAATTATCAACCGAGTTGCTCCTAGCTTGGCTCTTAGGGGCCATCTAAAAGAGGCTTAGGGCTCCTCATGCCTAACACCTAGTGTGTCCCAGTTTAGTCCATTCCTCTGCTAAAGGAATTTGGGTATCCCTACAAATTCTCTAGTAAGTTCCACGTTATGTCTCACTTGGGGCCCCTCCACATTATCCTTCCATGTTGATGAGTCACTCGTAGGCTGCCCTACCTTTGCTTGGCTAGGTGTCTGAGTATGAAGTCCACAGCAGTACCAGCTACTTGTGCCCCAGCTTTCAGAACTCGGCTGTTTCCAAGCATACTTCTCCTCTTACGTTCCCAAAACACCCTGCCTGGGTGACCCATGCTTGACCAGCTGTCATCCCAATTGTCTCAAAACTTTCTCCTTCTTCTGCTGACCTACTCTTCCTCCAGTGGTGGAGGGAGAAAACTAGTGAATCTGTTGCTCAAGCAGATTTAACTTCTGGTGTACACCCTGGCTATGTGAAGTAAGGAGCGCTAACTGTTCTGCTTAATGTATCTGGTACATATCCACACTAAACTAAATGTGTTGCTTTCAGTGGGATATTTTGGATTTATGAAAGACCAGTTGTTAAACTGGAGCTCCATTGGTCATAGGGTTAATATATTTCTTCCTTTTTTTCCTGCAGGCTGAACAGCTGATTGAACGACTGCAGACTGAAAATACTGCCAGTTGAAAGCACCTTACCTAGTCTTGGATCACAAATCAATTTAGATTTTGTTCTTTGAACTCTGATTAAGATTATATAGTTTGGTGTAACTATTTGTGAAGTTTTAAAAAAAGGAAAAGATTGAGTTGATTGCCTGTTCCTTCAGAGCAAGAACTTTTTTGATTGTCTACCTAATGCTCAGTGTATGTGTACTCAAGTTTACTGATAATAGATGCAAAATATTTGAATGGAAAATAGAGTAATATATAAAACACTAGTTCTAGTAAAATACATTCAAACCATTACTGTTTATAATGTATTAAAACTAGGCAAATTTTCAACAGTAACCGTTAATAGCATGTACACTGTACCAAGTTGAATGCTTAAAAGTGGAATCTAGCTTTTTATATTAACAAAAAAAAAAATGGGGAATGAAATAGTGTTTAAAACGAACAGGTTTCCTTTAGTACTTGCATGAGTCATGCTGGTGATGTCTAGTTCTTAGTAGGTACAGTGCTAAAGATAGATACTACTGTTTTTTGGTGCTAAACCATTTTAATATATTGCTATCTTGCATGATGATGGTCTGTAGCAAGTGCTAAACATAACATATTGTGCCCAGAATATGATAATGCTTTAGAACATAGAATTTAGTTTAAATTGATTGATTGTTACTTGTCTTGAATATTCTCTAAATACAAGATTTTTAAAACATACAGTTAAATTAAAGCGTTTGGATGGATTGAATTAACACACTTGCCTCTGGGCATCAAATTTAACCTAGAACCTAGATTAAGGACTTGTCTACACAGTGCGTTAGTCAGCACTAGAAGACCGGGGTGTAAATTCTAGTGTGCATTACTCTGTTGCATATAACTGGCCTGTGTGGATCCTGCTGGCACGCACTAAAAGATCGTGTGTGTGAATGTAGTCCTGTTTCACAGTACTACATTAACACACACTAGGGAATTTTTAGTGCATGCCAGTGAGGTCTACGTGGGTATTTAGTGTGCACTAAAAGTTTACATCCTTCTTGTGCAGACGAACACACTGGGTAGACAAGCCCTAACATGTGGTTCTACTAAATGTCACTTTGATTTACTTATGCTATGGCTAAATTTGACTCCTAAATATTTAGAGGTCACAAGATAAATTGTTCACTGATGGTGGGTTTTGTTGTTTTTGAGCTCACCACACACAACTACTATATAACCTGATAGGTCTTGGCATATCTGGGACTCAGGCAAAGCCCAAAACTGGAGTATTCATGTGATGTGGTGTTAAGAGTTGCATGAGGAGGTGTTCAGAGTGTCTATCTGCACTACATATGGCTCTAGTCAGTGCTGTCGCTCCCTCATTTTTATGAGCACCAAATTAATTCAGATCATTTGAAAAGAAGATAAAATTTCAGGGCAATAATTTTATCCCTTGGTTTTTTATTTATTTGTTTTTTGTTTTCCACCAACCATTTTGCATTTACCTAATTGAAACCAGTGCCCTTAGCATCTACATGTTAACAGCCAGGGTGGTGGTTATCCACTGCACCTGTAGGCTTCTCTGAGAAGTCTTAAAGTGCTTTCCACGGATCCTGTTGCCTTAGTGATGCAGTGTTTTGTAATGTTTATTTGTGTATATAGTACTTGAAGTGTTAAGAATATGCTGACCAAAGAACAAGATTCCCTGCCATAAAGAGCTTACTTCTGTCTTTTCTCTGAGACATTGCACTTACACTGTGTCTGCAGTTGGAGCTGAGGGTGTGGTTCCTGGACATACCTGTGCTAGCTTTGCTAAAAATAGCAATGGAATTTACGGTGGCAGGGGCAGGTGTGAGCTGTGGCATGGGCTAGCTGCCTTGAATATATCCCACCCAAACCCGGTGGGTACCTACTCAAGGCAGCTAGCCCATGCTGCCACTTGCTGCTGCCTGTGTGACTCTGGCTATACTGCTATTTTTAGCATGCTAGATTGATCAAAGCTAGCACTGGTACATCTATGGGAGCTGGGAAACACATCTCCAGCTCTAAATATAGATGGAGTGTTAGTGTCTTGATCCTCTTGTTAAGGGGGATTGGCATGTAACTTACAATACTTTGGAGTCTGGTTTAGTTCAGATTGGTGCTAGGAAGACTTTGACTCATTCCTTGCAATAATTAGGGAATCAACTCACACACATCGTAACTTGATTAAAATATTAGGATACCAATATATTAACATCTTTTTTAAAACAGTGATAAAGTACTGCTCATGAATATTGTGGTAGTGAATTAATTTATGTAACTATACTTAACTGTGATCTGCATCATTACAAGCTACTTTTATGAGCCAGTTCTAAAATATTATGGAAAAGCTTAATAAAAACCAGAAATAGTAAATGTTAACCTAGGCTTCTTGGAATGTTTTATAATTCTGTCAGAGTGGCTGCAAAGAGGTAATGTTGAATGTAACTGTTTTATTCTTAGGTGTAATACCGTTGCATACTTTTCTAAAATGTGAAAATGAAAAGTAACGTAATTCTGGTATAGAAAATGTAGACAGGGTCACAATATGTGTTTAGAATGAAAGTCCAGTGAAACAGATGGTACTGGAAACTGTTAATGGAAAACAGAACCTTTCACTTCTGGGTTGCTAATTCCAATTCAGACTAGGCTGGTAATGGCAAAAGAACAACAAAAAAACCACATTGCCATTTAATAGCTGTTCAGTGGTGCTTATAAACAAAATTTTAGTTTTTTAATCAAGTTCATAAGGAATGGGTATTTACATCACAAAACACCATTAGCAATTACTCCCTATTTTTGGTAGGTAATAAGGTCAAAGACTGACCTTTTTCAACAACTAAAGACTAATCCTTTATAACTGAGTCATAGTCAGGTTTGTGTGTGGCAATAGACACTACTGTTATACATGCACTTGCCAATACTGTCAGTCTTCCCAAGGAAAAATTAAATTGGGAATTGTTAGTGTACAGCGTATGCCCAACTGTACTAATATGAGACTACTCTGGAAAGAGACTATGTATAAACAGGACAGCCTTACCCAGCTGCTGTGTATATTTAGAATTACCTATTCAATTTTAGTTAAGTTTTTACCTCCTTAACCCTGAAAGATCAACACCTCATATCAAGAGTTAGATTTTATTACATCTTGAGCATCAATGGAATTTTGTAAATTCCAACCAGTTACATGTGTGCAAACGTCACTGGACACAATGGGGTTGTAAAGGTGTAAGGAGGGCTTAATTTAGCCTGCAAAAACCTTTTTGTGATGTGCAAGATTGAAAGAAGCCAACTTGATTCTGAGATTAGATTGTTTACAGGGCTGACTTTCCATTTAATTGTAAATGGAGCTACAGAAATTGAGACAAACAGAACCTCACATTGCTTTTCTTAGGCCATATTTACACTAGCACTTATGTCAGCAAAATTTTTATCGCTTGGGGCTGTGAAAAAACACACCCTGAGCAACATAAGTTTACCAGCATAAGCACTTGTGTGTACAGCGCTATGTGGGTGGGACAGCATTTTCCGCCGACATAGCTACTGCCAATCATTGAGCTGGTTTTCTGTCAACAGGAGAGCTCTCTCCTCTTGGCATAATGTGGTTACATGAGTGATCTGAGTTGCACAGCTGTATCACTACAGCTGGGCTGCTGTAAGCTTGCCAGTGTAGACATGGAGAAGTATTTCTCAGTGTAGATTTTCACTTTGTTTTCTTTGGAGGCTGACAAAGTTCTTGGTGGACCTGTTGGGAGTAGTAAGTTTGCTTCTTGAAAGGGGCACTGTCAGTGTTAGTAACTTTTTTATTTAAGATTTAAAAAAAAGCTTTGGTAGAACTCTTTAGTCTCCTGATTTCTTAAAGCTTCCTGCTCACTGTGGCTATTTATAAGGGTTTTAGTTTCAGTAAAACAGGGGCCAGGCTTGTTCCTTCTCTTCTCCCACCCTCTTTAATAGTACTGAAATAAAGGCTTCCTCCTGTGCCCTAAGAAATGAACACTACTCTAGCTCCCTCAGCTCCTGGGGATGCTCTAAAGAAAACTAGAAAGTGGTCTCACCTGCCTTAGCCACTGTTCCTTTATGGACCCCTGTGGGAGCCTGGAGGCTGAAGCAGCTTTCCTCATGTTAATTGTTCCACTAATGCCTGCACGGGCCTAGGATGTGAAGGGGTTTCCTAGCCCTGGTCCTAAAAGGAATAAAACCACCCTTCGGGCCACAAACTCAGGAAAATCAAAAGCTCTGCTAGCAATTCAGCAACAACAACTTGCAGGGCCTGTGTCTGAGCATATTTTACACTAGAGCTGGAAGGTGTAAATTCCAGCTCGAGGTGACTGCTGGCACAGCTGGGTGCTAGAGCCCTGCCCCCCTTCTAACCCCTTCCCCAAATCTCTGACCCACCTCCTCCCCTGAACACACACCATGTTCCCACTTCTCCCCTACAGCTGTTTAGCAGCAGCAAGCACTGGGAGGTAGGCGGAGGAGGAGGTGGTGTTGGGTGGGGCTGGCAGCTTAGCAGCCCTAGAGCACCCATGTAGTCAGCGCCTATGGAGGTGACATACTGATGCTACTCTGACTGAGCTAGTGTGCTAAAAAGAGTGGAGGTATAATGGGAGGGGGATGGGATAGCTGCCTGAGTACCCGCTTAGGGTCTCTGTTGGGATCGTAGTTGGTGGAGTAGCCCCTCATCCCACTGTGGCTATATGCTTTAGCCTGTTAATTTGATCATAGCTAGAATGGCTGTCTCCTCTCAAGATGGAATTTACAGATTCCGGTTCCAGTCTAGGCATACCCTTAGGCTGCAATGTAAATTTTCCTTTTCCCCGCACGGAGAGCAGATCTTGAGATTAATGCTAAAGTAAGTACCAGCAACTAAACAGTAATATGGTTTAAACACTGTGCATTTGATAGTACCAAGTAAAAAGAAAATATTTTCTTACACATCTCAGTGACAGGGCTGTTTAGCATCAGAAGTACAAAAACTTCCACTAATGTAATTTGTTGACAATGATCCTTCAAGTTATTTTGAGGTGTATGCCTAGCATGCTAATTATAGATCAACACTTTGTCCACATTATTTTAAACTGGTGTTAACAAAAGGTGCTGCATAAGAAAAACATCTCACATGTTCAGCTGTTGCATGATGACCTTTATTAAACTGCTGGCACTGTGCTCAAAGCTTCACAAGATAAAGCCTGTCCCAAAGAACTTACACTCTCAGCTGAATAGCCACAGAGTAGACAGGTCACAACTGGAAGACAAATGAAGGAATGTTTGTTTTTCTTTTGGTAGGTTATGTTAAGTTATTCACTACTTGTGGGGAAACCAGAAAAAGTGAATCTTTTAGGAGGGATTTGAAGGAAGAAAAGAAAGTGATTTGGCAGAGCGAAAGTAGGAATTTTAAATGATCAAAAACAAGGTTTGCTACCGAATGTGTGGCAATTTCAAATATCAAAAAACAGAACCCAACCCAATAAAAATAAATTGTAAAAATTTTCCTGGTAAACTATAATGTATTCCACATGCTCTCTTATGAGTGGTAGTGGTGGTTGTAATCAATTGAGCTGATCATAATGAATTCTGTACCGTTATGTAGTGCTTTTCAAAGGTGAGTTACCCCATGCTATGCTGGGGTACTTAAGGCAAGAAATATTAAGTATTTGGTCTGCATCATACATACAGCTAGTGAATATCAGAGCTGGGATTAGACACCAGGTCTGCATCCATTTTTTCAAGCGTCTTTTAAGATATTAACCATTGCTGAAAGCAAGCTAGCAGGAGCATGTATGGGAATAAAAATGTGTCCACTTCTGGCAGGGCACTTTCTGTGCCCCCAGGCTGGAGGAGTTGTCAGCTCCAGCCCAGGAGCTTACTCTCCCTGACCTGGCCTCTGAGTTCTGTGCCTCAGTTGACTGGGGGGGCTTGCCCACCCTTGCGCACACCCCTGCAGGCTAGTGAACTCAGAGCTATGGTCTGATCCAGTATGGTGATTCTTACATGCTTAGCTATCCACCGCTATCACTCAGAAGGATTTCAACTAGTCTTTAAGGGACTTGTGTGCATAACTTGTGAACAGGAAACGTCTTATTGCACTTAGAATCCCTGATGACCTTCTAAGTTTTGTCTAGTAACCTATGTATGTATGATAGGACCAGCCAATTGTGCTTTATCTCCACAAGACTAGCCTTTCCTGACTCATTTCATTGGGGCTTAACTGGCCTCTATATGCTATCCCAATGGGGCTGGAGCACTTGGGTACCACTTCTAATAGAGGCAGGCTGTTCCTTGCTTTTCCCCAACAATGCTGATCTGTACCATGGGTCACCCATCAGGGCTTGTCCTACCTAAAAAAACACTTCCTAGTAGGAATGATCCACTACTTTAATGAGAAATCAATGGGATTATGGCATTTAAAACTAAGCATGCTAGCTGTAAATGTATTTTAAGAAACTTGATTCTACTATGTGTCCATCTTCATACAATACACATGCACTATTACAGCTAATGAGAAGCACAAGTTTTGATCAATGGCTGTTTAAATATGAAAATGTTCAAGCTTTCTGTATTTTGATTTTCATCAAAACAAGAAATTGTTTCAACTGAAAATTTTCAATTTTCTTTTCCTCTCTCCTCTTCCAGTAGTAAAAGGAGAGAAGAGGGTAGGGGGAATGAAAATTGAAAACCAAACTTTGCATCAACTCAAACTGAAATGAAGTTTTGTTTCAAAACTTCCATTTTGAAAGCTTTCTGACAAATTTTCATTCCTTTAAAAATTTTCACAGGCTTTGACATTTTTTGACTCTCTAATAGCATGATAATGGTTTGGACTTATCAAGTTTCTTCAGAGTCTATCAGAGCACTCAATTAATCCTCTACATCCCTCTGAAGCAGGGGAATAGTCTTCATTTAACAGATGGAGAAGCTGAGGCACCAGACCCATTAAGACACTTGGTCAATATCACACAAGGAGTTGAATCTACAGTGTCAAAAATGGAATATGTTATTCCCAAAGGATGCAAATGCATTGATGGAAAGTGTAGTGTAAATAGGGCTCCTGAGTATATTACAGGTTCCAGTGGTATTGATGCATTGATTTGAATTACAGATTCTAATTTTTCTAGTGTAAAAAAGTCCAGGAACTCCATAGCAGAACCAAAAGTAGAATCCATATCTATTAGTTCCCATTCTTTAACCACAAGACCATTCTTTCTCCCTTTTTTGAAGAATTCTGAACATGCATAGAGTTTAAATCACTGTCTTTCAGCATCTGCCAAATGAGGTATATGATTATGTGTTGCATAATTAGCAATTTGGCACTCTACTGTCTGTCACCTCCTCTCCCCCAGGGCTCTTCCTTCCAAAAGTTGCACAATATTGCTATATATTTT